TTCAATCTTCTCAAATTAGATATTCCATGGGAGCGCGAACCACCAAACAATCTTCATGCTGATGGGCTGACCGACATTGATATTGAGGAAGACGAAGACACTCGCAAAGCTTCGAGTTTTGTCGTTCTTTCAACTGGCATGTCGGCCGCGGAGCCCGTGAAGCCCGTGGATTTGGATGCGGTAAGAAAAAGCTAATAAAACCATTTTTCTTCTCCACAGACTAAAGCAATTTCAGACTTGTTACGAAAGCTTCATGAATGAATCAAAAGGGTGCTACATCAACGAGATCAGTTTTATCTTTTTTTTTTTCGGAAACGGAAAGTCCAAGTCGCATCTTGTACCCGTGCTCGTCCTGCCTCATTCTTTAGGCCGATGCCCTCGTGGGCAAGATTGGCGAAGAGAGCAGCGATGCTGACGGAGGGACGGTATAAATATGACGATACAAAGCAACTAGTAGAGCAACTACTTTTGATGCCTCATGAAGTAGGAGTTTCGGAATTGTGTATAAGAAAATGAAGAAGATATTACAGGCTGATCTTCATTCTTGTCTTCACTATCTAGTACTTTCGAGTTTTGTCGTTCTTTCAACGGGGGTTGTATAGCAGGTCGGCAAGGAGGTATGCGATATATAGAGATAAGATGAACATGAGAAAAGAGAACTACCACCAGACAACTTCGTTCTCCCGCAAGTACAAGTGTGGGCTTCGAAATTATTGTCTCGAAGAAGATGAAGGCGCAGAAAGTTCTACAACTCCAATTATTATGACCACTATAATCTACTTCGAAGACTATGATGGGATGATCTTTTCAAGAACGACTACTAGTTTCCTTGAAAGTAATATCTATATCACTTCTTGTCTTTCATATTTCAGGCTGCGACGGCTTCTGGTAGTGGTACAGTTTCAGTGAGCCAAGAACGCCGAAGGCTGCTGGAGGAACTAAGAGCAAAACTGAAGGAACAAGAGGGCTTGTTGGGTGAGCTGGAAGAACAGCTAGATATGCAAGGTGATGACAACGCAGGAGAACGTAATATCCCAGAAAGTAGTGGATTCCCGAACGCAGCGAGCGCAAGCGCGGTACCTCTTCTATATAGTTAGGCGAACCACTAGCACCTATAAAAAGTTTGAGTTTGACAATGTTTCACATGTTTGTTAAGTAGTACTTCTTGCCATTCTTGTGCTTGTCTTTCGTTCATCTTCAGGCTCCGGTGACTGCAGGGACTTTTGCCGTGACCCCAGAGCTGAACGAGAAACTACAAAAACTACAACAAGAATACGCTGCCGCTCTTGGAACACAAGAGAACAATGCGGCACAGCAAATAAAATACCTGGAAGCAATGCAACACACTTACGGTTTGTCGCAAGTAGGCATTGAAGCGCAGATGCAGAAGCTGCAAAAAGCCGTTCTTGATGGGATGGCGAGACTGGGACTTGCAGGCGGAAACTTGCATGCAGGCCTTGATGCGGTCCAAAGTGGACTGAAGGTATCTTATAAAGTCAGGAGAACAAAAATTCCACCTTGTGATATTTTTCACGAGCTGCCCAGACTAGTTGGAAGATATGCACATTTCGCATCCTCATTTGACCGCCTGCTTGAAATAGCTTTGTTCTGCGTACAAGAAAAATACAACAGGTGGAACAAGAAGATATCAAGTCCTTCAAGGATGAAAGATCAGTTTGATCATATTTTTCTGAAACTCCTCAGAATAAACTCCATATCCTCACCCATTCTTCAGGCTGTGAACGGCGCTAAGATCTATGACAGCACGGACGGCGACACTTCGAAGATACGTATTGTGCCAATTGAGTGGAAAGGTGACGCAGACGGGGCCAACTGGGACTTCCCATTTCTGCAAGTAGACAGCAGCACAAGTAGTAGTAGCAAGGTGGCTGCAGTACTAAAAACTGTTCAGTACGTGCAAATCCCAAAAGATAGTCTCTCTCATTTGCGGCCTTGGCGCAATTACTATCGCTTCGCCATCGACGGTTCGAAGGGAGGTAGAGGTTGGCTTCATGAGATGCAGCGACAGGCCAGTTTGCTCAATGACCTTGGTCTTTTTGTTGCGATGTGCCGCCATGGGTTCGACGACGTCTCCGTGTCTCTCAGATCAGATCCCACGAATATGAAAATCGCAACACACCACTGGTGGAGTGCGGTCGTCAAGGACGAACCTGCGTTCCAAACGCTATTCGGTCAGAGATTTCTAAGCGAGATTCAGAATAGCAAAAAGGAAATCAGAATTCGATCGATCGGCTGGTGCAGCAAGTACTTCGACGGCAACAGCGAAAATCCGTGCCCCCCCGGTTGGTCGTCCGACTCTAGAGGAGAAGAGAATGTAGCTGGCTTTAGCGAGAAGCTGCACCATATGACGTCCGACGAATTCGGTAACCCTGAAGCTTTTCGTCTCCAAGTGGAATGTGCCGCGCCGAGGAACGATCGTCCCGAGATATTTGGGGTGTTTCGCAGGGTATTCGTTGAGTTCTGGTGGAGGAAAGAGGCATGAAGGCACGCAAAGGTATCCAGACTGATTTTTGTTGAAGAACTCTACTCAGTCATCTAGATGGTGACCAATGCGGTCGACCTTGTAGACGCCTACGATTTTGCGATGTGCAGGTGTGGCGAATGAATTGTTGACACTGCAGATGATTCTGAGAACTACAACTACAGCACCAACAAACATGAGTATTTTTGTGCTTTGTACCATTTTACGACGCTGTATGATGAAAAACAAAAATAAAAAGATGGGGATGCTGACATTATGACGATTTTTAGACTTCTACACCCAGACGCTGGATGCCGAAAGTAATCGCGCATGTCTATCTAGTCCTCGGCGGTAGCTGATATGCAAAAAGCGATGTGTGTCGAAACAGTCTCGGTGTTCGTGTAAAAGTGTAGTTGTAGTGAACGAAGGTCATGATCACTATCAGAACTAGTTCCTGGGGTTGCTACAGCATTATCAGGGACGCACACCCGACTTTGTACGATCAGTCTTTGGCAGTCGGCACAACTCAATGATTGAAGGGAAAACAAATTCTTGAGAGCTGTGTTTTTCTTCAAGTCGATCAAGCGGGATCGATCTCCGACAACAAGCGCGGTGGATACTTGTGAATATTTGATATTTGTGATACCAGGTCCAGCCCGAATCGACTAACATCATCATTTGATATTTTTGATACCTATGTTGATGTAATGAAACAAGAGTGCCTTGAATATAATTATGTCAATTTCGTATCACGATCCACAATATGAAGAAGAACTGTTAGGATGGAACCACGTTTTTTAGAGTGGTTGAGTAAGTGTATCAACTACCAAGCACGAATACCATGTCGCCCTCGTTATCCTCGTCGGGAATGCTTTCCCTGCAGATGCTGACTGTTGCATGATCTTTTTCTGAGCCAAGCTCAAGAAGCCCGAGCAGGTGGATGGGATAGTCGCCTTTACGTGTATGGAATAGTTGCGGTTCAGCATCAGCCGGTGCGCAGGGGCGACATCGCTAATGTGGTTCTCATTCTCGGCGTCACTGGTTATCCAGCTCACGCTGACTCTATTTCTCATCTTTGACGCCCCAGACAGCGCGGTTGGTTTGCGAACTGAATAAAGCTGAGGTGGCAGCTCTTCTAGCAGTGGCAGGATACAGAAAAAAAGACTTTTAACAACTCTGAGCGGCCTCATAATTTTCACGTGGGACGGAACTTCATTGCGGATCATTCCGTTGTGGTTGTGTGCCAGCTATTTCGTTCACAATCAGGGACCACTACCACAACGACTAGGCACGTGGCGTCTGGCACCTCACAGCTGGGAGTTGTTGCGAATTTAACAGATATACTTTGACCTGAAGAAGAGATGCATTGATTACAGTGTAAAGAAATTCCAAGAAAAGGGTATAATTGATCATCACCTCACAAGAAGAATGAAACATCCATGACGATCCAGCAATGTTGTGGCTAGTATATAATAGATAGGGTACAAATAATTATAAAAGATTCAACTGTAATAGAGGTACTATTGGACATCACGACACATCAGCAGGAAGATGGTTTTTCCGGCACTTCCTAGTACCTCCAGCATGCTGTTCTTGTAGTAAGTAGTATCAGAGGTTGCAGTTGGAAAAAATATTGGAATAATTCACTGATCCAAAAAAAGTTAGCAAAAAAATATCGATGTGGGCCACAGCAAAGTAGTGTTTTTCGGCAAATCTGCAAAAGTAGTGAAATCGATCGTCGTTGTTCTCCATCACACTGTCGTTATTGAGACCTCTTTGTTCCCCTCCCCCACGTTTGGCTGTACTGCCCTTCATAATTATGACAGTTCTTGGCCTCCTACCTCTTCTTCGTCGCACACACACACACACGCACACACAGACAGACGCGCACTCACTTTAGAAGTTGCTTGTTGTACTCGCTGCGGTGGGCGTGAGATTGAAAATTGCGTATCGATGTGTTCGCTATCGGCGTCGGAATAGGCGTGAGGACAAGCGCTACGCTTTATTATCGTCGCTTGCTTTTCTGTCTTTTGGTCACTGTCGTTGCCTAGCACGTAAAAGTTTCTTGATCTTACACCTGTTCGTTCCCCATTCGTAGGATCGCAATTTTGGTTTCCTCTCGTCGGATCGAACTGATCGCTTTTGGCAATTTCTACAATATGTACGTAGAACTTCTAGGACAACTTATTGAGTCAGTTTGCGTCAACAATGCGACGCGCCATGTATTATTTGTCCTTCTGTAACTCTAGCCAAATAGAAGCGTTAAATAGACGAGGACGTGCGACAGACATAGCATGAGTTTACACGACGCACACTACACGAAAGATGCTTATAATGTATTTGAATTTTTATGTATAACAACTTATAAACGTTCTTGTTTGTCTTATTGGCTTGGAGCGTCCGACAACATCCCTCCCACTAGGATCCGCCTCCTCCCCAAAATAAGAAACTAAGCAAGGCAAAGATGTAAGCGATACGCGTTTTCAAATTTCGAAAATTTTCCACGTTTTGCCATCGTTTGAGGATTGGACCTCGTGCGTTTGAAGTCAAGGGCTAAGATCCCGAAGCTTTTCGACTTTAAGCCCTTTCGCTGAAATTCAATTTCTTGGATTTGCATTTTTCAAACTTCGAAAATTCTCCACGTTTTGGCGTCGTTTTGGGGTTGAATTTTGTGCGTTTGAAGCGCTAAAGACCCAAAATGTTTGACCTTCAGCCCTTTCCCTGAGATTCCGTTTCTTGGATTTGCATTCTTCAAATTTCGAAAATTTTCCACATTTTGGCGCCGTTTTGGGATTGAATTCCCTGCGTTTGAAGTGCTAAAGTCCCAAAGTTTTTGACTTTAAGCCCTTACCCTGAGACTCAATCTCTTGGCTTCGCGTTTTTTCCAATTTCGATAATTTTCCACGTTTTTCGTCGTTTTGGGAGTGAATCCCGTGAGTTTGAAAGGCTAAGACCCCAAAATTTTGGATTTTAGGCCCTTTCTCTGAAATTTGATGCCTTGGCTTCGCGTTTTTCAAATTTCGAAAATTTTCCGCATTTTGTCGCCGTTTTGAGATTGAGGCTCGTGAGTTTGAAGCGTTAAGATCCCAAAACTTTTGATTTTAAGCCTTTTCCCTGAGATTCAATCTCTTGGCTTCCTTCGCGTTTTTCAAATTTCGAAAGTTTTCCACCTTTTTCGCCATTTTGAGAGTAAGCCCTTTGATTTTGAAGGGCTAAGATCCCAAAGCTTTTGACTTTAAGCCCTTTCTCTGCAATTTAATTCCTTGGATTCGCGTTTTTCAAATTTCGAAAATTTTCCCCGTTTTGTCGTCTTTTTGAGGTTGAGTCTCGTGAGTTTGAAGCGTTAAGATCCTAAAATTTTTGATTTTAACCCCTTTCCCCCGAAATTCAATCCCATTGCTTCGTGGTTTCATGGTTTGCGGTTTCGTGCCTTCTTGCTTTCTTGCTTTCCTGCTTTCCTGCTTCCCTGCTTTCCTGCTTTCATGGGTTCATGGGTTTGGGGTTTGTTTGTTTTTGTGTCGGAGGTTTTGGGCTCGGGTGTTGGAGGTTTTGGGTTTGGGTGTTGGAGGTTGAGGCTTCGAAAGGGAAGTGCTTCCAAAGTTTTCTTGCTCTTAGTACTCGCTTGGAGCGTCCGATAACATCCCTCCCACTAGGATCCCCCTCCTCCCCAAAATAAGAAACTAAGCAAGGCAACGACGTAAGCGATATGCGTCTCCAAATTTCGAAAATTTTCCACGTTTTGCCATCGTTTGGGGATTGGGTCTCGTGCGTTTGAAGTCAAGGGCTAAGATCCCAAAACTTTTCGACTTTCAGCCCTTTCGCTGAAGTTTAATGCCTTGGCTTCGCGTTTTTCAAATTTCGAAAATTCTCCACGTTTTGTTGTCGTTTTGGGATTGAATTCTGTGCGTTTGAAGCGCTAAAGTCCCTAAATTTTTGACATTCAGCCCTTTCCCTGGGATTCAGTCTTTTGGATTCGCGTTTTTCAAATTTCGAAAATTTTCCACGTTTTGTCGTCGTTTTGGGATTGAATTCCGTGCGTTTGAAGTGCTAAGATCCCAACGCTTTTGACTCTAAGCCCTTTCCCTGAGGTTCAATCTCTTGGCTTCGCGTTTTTCCAATTTCGATAATTTTCCACGTCTTTCGTCGTTTCGGGAGTGAATCCCGTGAGTTTGAAGCGCTAAGGCCCCAAAGCTTTTGACTTTAAGCCCTTTCCCCCGAAATTCATTCCAATGCCTTGGCTTCGCGTTTTTGAAATTTCGAAAATTTTCCGCATTTTGTCGCCGTTTTGAGATTCAGTCTCTTGAGTTTGAAGCGTTAAGATCCCAAAATTTTTGATTTTAAGCCCTTTTCCTGAGATTCAATCTCTTGGCGTCGCGTTTTTCAAATTTCGAAAGTTTTCCACCTTTTTCGTCATTTTGAGAGAGAGCCCTCTGATTTTGAAGGGCTAAGATTCTAAAATTTTTGATTTTAAGCCCTTTCGCTGAAATTTAATTCCTTGGATTCGCGTTTTTCAAATTTCGAAAATTTTCCGCGTTTTGTCGTCGTTTTGAGGTTGATTCTCGTGAGTTTGAAGCGTTAAGATCCTAAAGCTTTTGACTTTAAGCCCTTTCCCCCGAAATTCAATTCCATGGCGTCGTGGTTTCATGGTTTTCGTGGTTTCATTCGTGGTCTCATGGTTTCGTGGTTTCTTGGTTTCCTGGTTTATTCTTGGTTTCGTGGTTTCGTGGTTTCATTTTCTTGGTTTCCTGGTTTTCATGGTTTTCATGGTTTTCAATTTCATGGTTTTCGTGGTTTTCGTGGGTTCATGGGTTCATGGGTTTGGGGTTTGTTTGTTTTTGTGTCGGAGGTTTTGGGTTTGGGTGTTGGAGGTTTTGGGTTTGGGTGTTGGAGGTTGAGGTTTCCGAAGGGATGTGTTTGCAAAGTTTTATTGCTCTTAATATTAATGATTGGTCTTATTTATTATGTGGCTCTTTCCGTTAATTAACTTCTTCCTTCACACGATGGCTTGATGCTGTTGCTGTTCCACGCTTGGATTAGGAATGAGGGAGGACTTATTCTTGAGTGTCTACTGTTTAGAAGAGAACATTTTTCGTCTCGTCCCCTAGAAAAATCTGATGTCTCCAGGTCCTCGTCTTTCCTGCTAGCGCTGACGCGAACACATGCGCACCTTGACAGCGAGTTCAGCACCGTAGTGCCACATCGTTCAAAAAACATCTTTTGCCGTTTTTATTTTTGTTCGGTGCGTGGGGGCGGGACACATCATACCTCGAGGACGGACTGTGTCTTGTTTTTTTTTATTACAGAAATTAAGAACAAGCTCGCTTTTGCTAAGGTTACCAATACCATAAAAATTGAGTACAGGACGTCAGAGTGACAGTAATTTGTTGTGGTTTATTGGAGATTTGCAGGAGCTTGAGGTGCAAGAACCTTCTCCCTCCTTCTTCTCGTCCACAGTCGATACTGCGACTGTCCAGCTGCTGAGTAGACTCAGATGAATTAGCGAGCTCAGACCTAGTGCTAGTGGACTGATGCGGATTGTAGTCTCGAAGAAGAGACGCAGTGAAGACGACCATTACCCGCTTTCCACAAAGCATCAGGGCTTTTCCATGAAGTGGTAGCTATTCGTTTCGCGCAGCTGCTTGCAGAGTTGGCGCAGTGGCCTTCGACGACGCGGCGATAACCACGCGAAGTAGACGGAGAGTCCTGCTTTATCTAACACAGAAGGATCGTCGTACCGCAGAAGTAGGTGGACAAGCGGAGAAAGGAAGAGAGTTCATCTGCGTTGATGGCAATCGACAACTTCGCTTTCTTTGTGTGACTAGTTTTTTTGCGTACCTTCTGCGTAGTGGTGGACACTTTCTAGTGCTCACAACTTGGCACGAAGAAGAGAAGAGCACATCTGAGCTTGGGTCTTCATCCTTCAACATACTGCGTGTGAGTGTGTCTTCATCCTTCATCCCATACAACGCGGCAGTATCGTCTCCAGCATCCTTCTTGGTCTTCGCATACTTACGAGCCATCCTCTTTGCGTCCCACGAACCATTTTTTGATTGTACCAGGCCAGGAGTCCACTTCTGCTTACAGGTCTCCACAAGAAAACACCACACCAGTGAGTCTACAGACGACAGACGAGGCTCCATCCAGACCGCAGACGAGTCTCCACTCATCTCCCTAGCCGACGTCACCGGAGATTCTCTATGGAGTAAAACGGCTTGTTGTGAGGAGACCTTGTTGGAAAAGACGTGAACAAAAGCAAGATGAGGATCCAGAAACGGGAAGGTCACCAATATTAAGGCTATCTTCGCTACTGCTATAATACTGCTATAGAGACTACAAAGAAAACATGAATAACCGGTTGTTCTTTTTCCCACGTCTTACTTTGTTTTTTCTTCACAATGCTAAGTATTAACTCATCTTTGCTCTATGTATGGGTCCAGTCGACCCTCAAAATCAAATTGAACGACACAACTCTACTCGTGATCATGTCATCATCGCGCGTTTTTTTTACTCGTGACGTTTCATCTAAAACTCGCGAGGATGTCAAGCAGTCGAAACAGCCTCACAAGTGGCCACCCACCCTCCGCAGGACAGGGCATAGATCTTACTGGTATCACGAATCTCCTCACCGGCGGAGCTGATACGAAGATTATGAACATAAACTTTTCTTGCACGACAACTTAGTCAGAAGCCTTAGCTGGTCACAGTGTAGAGTGGGCAATAGCAACCTATCCTATCCTAAGCGTTGTAATTAATATGCTTTTTTTGAGTTGGTTAGAAGCCTTAGCTGGTCAAAGTGTCGTATTTGATAGGCTTTTTATGATGTACGTTCATCATCCTTTAGACCTTCCACGTTTCTTCTTTTCTTCCACCCTTTCTTCATGATGGAGACATGGCAAGTACGCGTGACTCGAGTGGCATTGACGAAAGGTAACAGGCCTGTAGTCGCGCATGAAATACCGATATATGTCGCATTACAAGATGTGGAGTCTGTTGCGGTGCCTCGAGGAGCATTATTATGGCTCACGAAGGGATGAAAAGACCAGTCGTTTTTGTAAGGAATTAACTTATAGAAGCGCATCCTATCTGGTGCCGGTGCGAATAATTTATAGTAATCATTCTTATCTTGACTCGCTGCATTTCCTGAAGAAGAAACCCGTTCTTTGTGGTGTAGCAAAGAGTTAACTGATATCAATGTAGGTAGCACCTCCGAGTGCTGTCTCCTTCATAGGATGCTACTCGGAGAATTTAGGATTCTACAACCATTCAGAGAGGACAGAGTAAGTATAAAATAGAAGATGCAAGTACTACTTGTACTTACATATTTATAGCAATCAACATTCTTATCTTTCATCCGGATTCTCTCTTATTCTTAGGATTCTACTCGGAGTGAGGAAAACAAGTTTTAATTGCTAACCTGAGACTGCCTGCATTTCTCGGCTCTTATCTCTTGCTTACCAGTTATTTAGAAAATGAATCTTCATCATCTCATCTAAGGTTACCTCCAGCTCCAAAGGAGAGCCCGTCCTCGTCCAGCAGCTCCTCTTCTTCCAACAAGGAAAGCAAAGCACTTCACAACGATGGCGCGGAGACTAGTACCGCCGCGGGTGAGGATTCCTCTTCGTCAAAAGTCGGGGATTCGAGAAGTACGTCCTCCTCGATTACGGAACATTAATTAATATCATTAGCTAAAAAATAAGACTTTTGACTATCTAAGGATCACAAGCTTAATATCATTAGCTAGTTGTACATGAATGTGAACTTGACGAAGTTTCTAAATCTAATGCCACGCACCAGGTGGCACCTACTTAGTACGGTGTCGACATAGGATGCATATGCCTGTCATAGAAACTCGTCTTTATGCAGTCGTGCACTTCTTGAAAGCTGCACCGTGTGACTTTCTGTGCTGGGCGCTGGGGGGCGCAGGTGGAGCTCAAGCCCCCTAGGCCTGACCACACCCCTCTCGCAGTTTGATCGGAAACATTTGCAACCGAAAAAACACACCCTTAGAATACCTGTAGATACATTTACTCCTTAAAAACCTCGAGCTCGTTACAAACAATAAGTACTGAAGAAAGTCTGCTGGTCTCCTTGGTAGAGGCCGTCTAGTCCATCGATTATTATGTTGAGACGCGACGTAAATCTAAATCATTAACGAGAGTTCCTTCGTCCCTTTCTAATAAAAGCGCGGCAGAGACCTTGGGGCCTACGGACGACGACTTCTGCTGTCCAGAGGTCGTTGATTCCTCAACCTCATCCTCCGTGGGTAACGCTTCCTCTGCGTAAGGCTTCCACTATTGTTCTACTTAGGTGACTGCTTATTTTTGTATTTGAGCTGCGGCTCCAGCCCTTCCTTTAACATGGCATAAGAGCAGTGTTTCTGGCGACCTTCATTATTCTTCGAGTAGGAAAAGAACCTTTCTTATAATCTTAAATCTTTGTCATTCTTTCTCTAATATGCAGAGGCCGAAAGTAGTACCACGGCTACAGAGGAAGGGACGACACCTCAGCAAACTCCGGATCAGCAACTCCTTTATCGGACAATCAGTGTCCGAAATCAAGGCGTGCCATTTGAGGACAAAACCGGCCACGAGCGAGACGGCCTACTAACTTACACCTGGTCACGGGGACCCCTCATTCGGAGCTGTTACTTTCATTTATGCGCTCGGCTACTCCTGCACATACTTATTCTGATTTGATGTGCGTTAACAACTACAAGGAAATAAACGCGCGATCATTTTCATCGTCCAATAGGAAATGTCTTCCTCTACGACAATCATGAATTTCCTATTTCCGATTCGTTTCCCTTACAATCAGAAGTTATTTGCAAGATCATCAATAGGTACACAGCACACCCATTTCCTGCACTTTTCTTGCTCTACTTCATGACCACCGCACAAAATGGGACGCTTACAAGCCATCGAGAAGAATTATCAGACCTATTGCTCGAAAGAATGCCTTATAAAAGGGTGGTCTTCAAGGGAAGCGCTTGCCAAAGCCGATATCCGGACGCTGGGCCTCACGGAATGCAATGAACCATGTAATTTTTATTGCATCCCCTGATGTGCAGGATCCATAACCTAACCTAACCTCTGTGGTTCCAAGATGATTTTGATTCTTCCAAGATCAAACTCCCATAGAATTTTTATGGTCATGATGATAAGTAATTGAAGCATCCAACATTGTTGTATTCTTCCAGCTTTCCTTCTGCCTTCTCTTTTGTACTTTTTTTTTGTACAACCAGGCTTGCACATCACACTGACACCTATTCTTGACTATCTGTGCCTTTTTGAATTTGACTTCATCCACTTTTTCCTGTTCTATACCACTACAGCTGATTTCTGGGCGCATGTTGTGCATACGAGAGAGACGTGGGAGGTGGTGGGCAGAGAAAAGGCGTATATTCCAACAAAAGAGGACGTTGGGCATCCGTTGAGGTTAGACGTCGAGCCCTGGAGGCCAGAAGGCGCAGACCTGAATCCTGCGGATAAAAAGAGCATAATCACGGGAACGGTTTTGGACAAGCCACACGAAGCTCGAACCAGAAGTATGCTTAGTTACACCAGCTACGACGGAGCATGGCTGCATCAACAGTTCAAAGTATTATCAGAAATAATGAGCATGGCTGCAACTGCATCAACAGTTCAACAAAGTATCCTATTACTTAGCAAAAGATATATAACTTTCATTTTCATCTGAGTCCTCTGATATTGTTGCACTATAGTACATAAGTACCTATGTGGATAATTTTTTCTAGCATTACATCACTTACATTCTCTAACAAATGTTCAAACATAACAAGGTGCTGTAGACTTTTCTTCAATGTGGTAGGTCCTTTTTATACAATGACAGAGTTTAATATTTAAAGACTGTTCTTTTCTTACCCTTTCCACCCTTAGCTACCCTTTCGACCATCCCACATCCGAAGAATCACTCATTACATTTTCCAGTTAATGAACTGGAATATCGTGGCCTCTACAAATCACTCATTTTCCAGTTAATGAACTGGAATATCTTGGCCGACCAGTATTGTACCGAGAGCCAGTATCCTTACTGTGAACCTTGGGTCCTCAGTTGGGATTATAGAAAGCAGTTGATACTCCAAGATTAAGGCTCCTCACTGTAAGTCAAATCTTGAGAACATGGCGGGAGGACATTAGACAACCTACAATCTAGTAAGTTCATTCATCATCATCATCATCAACCTCGAGAAGAAGCATCTTTCTTTGGCCCGTTTCCTTTGTAAGGGACCAAAACCCTCACTGTAAATCTTCTTGAGAACAACACACGTCTCAAGAAAGATGCTTCTTGTCAAGATTTGTTGTAAAAAGAATATCAGTGTACTCTGGTCTTCCTCGGTCCATCTGAGTGCTGTTGTGGTCCTAACTCAAAAAAAAAATGTGGACTGCGGTCCATGGCGAGAAACGGGAAAACCCACTTGAACTTGAGCTTGAAGCTCCTTCCTCGGTCCATCTCATTATTTGAAGCTCTAATAAGAGATACGAAGCATAGCCGCTGACATAGTGACGCTGCAAGAGGTAGAGCAAGACATATACTGGACATGGTTAAAAGACGAGATGGAGAAGGACGGATACGAAGGACGCTATCAAGGTATTCACTATAAATACTTAGCTTGTACCAAGATTCAAAGTACCATATGCCTATGACTATGAGGGATCATGCACAGAATCGAATTAAGTACCACAAGCGAGTTACTGACTGAAATAAGGGAGGTAGCTTAACATCAAGGCTACTCATCTTCCTTCTCATCAGTATCTCCCTTATTTTCAGTAGTTACTTGCTTATTTCAGTTTTTCGAATACTTAGTCTGTACCAAGATTAACAAGTACCATATGCCTATGACTATGAGGGATGCACAGGAGAATAGAATTAAGTACCACAACTCTCTAGAGGACAGGTTACCGTTTCTACCTATACATAGAAGCTACCAATTACTACAACCGGGTAATTTTTCCTCGACGTCGATTTAGCCTCACCCCAACTACATCATGATCGATGGCATTAAGGGTAAAAATGTAATGACGAATTACGACCCGACTATTCAGAGATCATCTTTATTTCTCTATGTCTAGTACTGCCGCACATAAGACACCGCCATGATACTACAGAGAAAAAGCGAGAGCCAATATTTGTGCGGGGTCGCTATTGCCTAGAGGGTTGCGCAACATTTTGGAAGACCAATCGGTTTAGCGAGATTCATACCGAAGTTTGTGACTTCGATCTGGAAACACAGAACAACTTTCGGAACATCTACGACACCGTCTCCAATGTCCAGCGGCTGAGCAAGTTACGAAAATAATAGCAGCTATTACTTTGTCAATCATGATCATGTCAATGAATGGGTCTGATGTGCTTGTAGTTACCTCTACTTAATGTTTTTAGAGTAAGAGCTAGAGCACTAGGTAAAAAGTTCGATAGTGTGAGGTATCAGCCGAGGAAACTTCAGGTTTGATTTGATAAGAATAGAATGTCGTCAAATTCTTGAGGACTTTGTGATCCTTGAGACAATCCTTGCGACACAGACACTCCTCTAATCAAGGGAAACATCGCGCTGTTAGTGGTCCTGGAGGACAAGCGGATGAAGACGCGGGATCCCAGATTGAGAGGACCGAACGGCGGAAATAGGCTGGTCGTGTGCAACACGCATATCATCGCATCTGCTGACAGCACAGATATCAAAATGCTACAATCGACGATACTCTTAGAGAGACTCAAGCACTTCCAGCACATACCACATCTCATCTGCGGCGATTTTAACTCAACGCCAGATAGTGCGGTATATTTTTTAATTAGGCTGCTCAACCCAGTACTAGAGTTGATTCTTTTCTATTGTGTGCAATTGGGGAAGGAAACTCATCACAAATTTTCACGTTTTTCATCAGGTCTACGAGCTCCTCTCACGAGGACAGGTCGATTTGGAGCATGCGGATGTCAAGAATAGCGACAAATTTAAGCTTGTGGAAGCGCTAGCACGGAACAGGGGCCTCACGCACAACTTGAAGCTTCTCTCCGGGTACCAAGACCTAGTTGTATGCTGAGTGGAGGTTAGTACTAAAAGACTGAACTACCTCAATAAATCCATTAGACCATATGGATAAGGAGGGCACATGACATGCCATCACTTTGCTGCAAATGTTTTTTTCTCGATTTTCGCGATTTGGATTTTGGACGGTTTCATGATCGAAGACATGTAGTTACTAGTTCGAGTGACAAGCAACTGTTGATTTTGATAATTGATATTCATCATCTCTGAGTGACTCTGACTCACTACTCATCTTCAGGTATGAGTCGGTGGAGAAAAAGGAGCCGCTATATACAAATTACACCGAGAATTTCAAGGGAACACTAGACTATGTGTGGTTTTCTGCGGAGACATTGTCCTTGCTAGCTATTTCCAAAGTGGACGACGAAGAGGCCCTGCTCGAGGAAGCAGCACTGCCAAGCAGCACGCGGCCTTCCGACCACATCTCGCTCGTGGTAACGCTTTTGTACAGCACAGAGGAGCTAGGACGCATAAAAGAGATCAAACAGGGACAAATCCAAATGGTCGCGGAGAATCGGAACAAAGTGAAATTAATGGCACGACCGAGTGGCACTCATACGACGTTTAGCGGTGCCCCGCAACCTCCCTTGCAGCATGCGCACTCCCACCACGGGAGTGCTTCCGGTAGTTCATTGCGAGGACAGCACCAGCATCCAGGCCACCTCCCAGGCGGCGGTCTCAGCTCCGCGAGTTCCTTGCCGTTGACGCACCATCACAGCACGGGGTCGCTACACCAGCACGAGGGGCCGCCAGGAAGCAGCAACAGCGGGAGCAGCAGTGGTCTGATGCAGGCGCACCTGGGAGGCATCGGGCTTCATCCAGGCGGCTCGCTCAGTGGCGGCGGATCCGCACGCAGCTCTTCCAGTGGCGCTCACTTTCACCACCCACGTGGAGGAGATGGGCCTGCGCAAATGGGCCAGCAGCACCACCCTCATCGCGGCTCACTAAGCAGCCATCAGCTGCACAACATGCAGCACGGTCCTCCCGGAGGACACGTCGTTGGTCCACCCGCAGGTGGGCCGACAGGCCATCCCTCATCCGCAAGGGGTCACTACCAACCCCACGTTTTACCAGGGGAACCACCCGGTGGAAAAATGTCGGCTGCTGCGCCTCCAGGAAGTGCGGCTCGCGGCATGCCACCAGGAGTCCGAGGAAATCCAGGAGCCGTGGGTCCTAGCGGCGCGGGCGGCATGCCTCCAGGAGTCCGAGGGAATCCAGGAGTCCGAGGGAATCCAGGAGCCGTGGGTCCTAGCGGCGCGGGCCAGCCGCCTGCGGGAATGCACCAGCCCCCGCATTCGCGCGGTGTTGGAGGGTCGTCTCATAATATGCAGCATCTTGGAGGACCCTCTACTTCTGGCGGTCCTGGTGGGTTACAACACGGTGCCCCGGGAATGGAGCTTGGTGGAGCAGGTGCGGGTAGCAATCGCTCGTCGATAATGATGCGGACATTAAGGCTAGCTACAATAAATATTAAATGCATCTTCACAGTTGAGTTCACAGGGGGCATCTTCCTTCGTTGTAGTCCTCCCTGTGTTTCTGAAGGGGTGGAAAAGAAAAAGGGTGCGCAGATGCTCTTGCAGATGGATTTATGAAAGATCTAAGGACATCCTCTGGCAGCATAGGACCGCCTCCCGGAAGCGCTCCTGGACCTTCTGGCGGCATAGGAGGTCCTCCCGGTGCCAAAGGCAGTCTCGCGGGTCCGCATAGCGCTCCGCACATGATGCCAGGCGGAGGAGGACACCAGAGTTTGCAGAATGGAGGCAAACATCTGAACGCGAACGCGGTAGCGTTTGTGCCGGGACGTGGCTTCGAGGCCAGAGCAGGGGGTTTTGATCCGGGGTCCTCTTCGTCCACGCCAGCTCCCAGAGAACGACCTTCGACCGCGTCATCGAGCGGCGGCAACACGAATACTCTTGTCTTAAACGGCGTGCTCAACAACACGAAGGGCATGCCGCATGCGCACTCCGGGAGCCCGCTGCAGCAGACGGGAGGCGGGAACAACAACAGCAGCGGAGGCGCTGGTGGAGGAGGTGGAAACAATAGCTGCGCGACAAGCATCAGCGGGACTACGTCTTCCACGCCAGTGCCTATGCGGGGCCCCAGTGGCAGACGACTAGTACCGCCTGATAGCAGTTCCTCAACTGGTATGGGAGATCCCCACGGCGGAGGCGGACCCAATGCGACTTCATCTGCCTCCTCTGTTAAGGCTCACAAAAATTCAAAAATTCATCTTGAAGAGAAGCATCTTTCACCCCTTTTCTAAGGGGAAAGAGCGACGAAGATGCACTTGTTAAAGATGAATATATGAGTCATATATGCGAGGTCTAACTCTAGAGGCCTCGCACGGCAGCCATCAGGGTCCGTAGCTAGTACATCATCGTCGTCCAAACACTTAGGCTCTTCCTCAGCCCCCTCAGCGCCGAGCAACATGTGGGACCAGCACCATCACCCAAATTTTAAGGCTGTACTTATAAATATTTATATTATACATTTATATATCATAATATATTATATATTTATACATTTATCTATGCGTTCTTCACCTCGTGTAAGATAAGATTTTTCACTTTTTAAGGATCACAAGACATTTATGCGTTCATCTGAGATACATACTTCTATCCTGACTTCTAGAAACATCGATCTGAGATACTTCTATCCTGACTTCTAGAAACATCGATCTGAGATACTTCTATCCTGACTTCTAGAAACATCGATCTGAGATACTTCAATCCTGACTTCTAGAAACATCGATCTGAGATACTTCTATCCTGACTTCTAGAAACATCGATCTGAGATACTTCAATCCTGACTAGAAAATAGATAATTTCCCTTTGAAAGAAGAAGTACAGGAGCTACAGGGAAGTCAGTCATATTTTATACTAACGAATGATCCTTCGAATTCAACAAGTCTTGAACAAACTGAAACTACTGTATGAAAGATGGTGGAGAAAATGAAAAATCATCAATCGCCTACCATCTCTAAGACCTCCATGCCAGGTGCGCTTCATTCCATGCCAGGCTCACTATTAAGGCTCAGCTTTCATTGGTCGCCATTTAGATTGGAGTCACTGAGATCGAAGAGGCGCCCCTTGGAAGAACAGGGGAAAACCAAGGGAAAACAAGGAGAGGGGTGTGGGGCCCTTTCCGTCCAGAGTCAGTGACCAATGAATGCTGACCTTTAAGACTACCGCCAGAAGCCCACTCCCAGGGGCCTTCCGGGTCTGCGTCTGCAGGATCCCTGCCACATCCACACCTCGCTGGAAAGAGTCAAGGCATTGGAGATCACTCACATCCAGGGCTGAACGCGAACCTCCTGAACAACAGCAACCTCAACAACTACGGCTTCGCACCGGGTTCGAGGCCCGGGGGACCAGAACAGCAAAGAGGAATGATGCCGCAACCTGGCTTCATGCTTGGAGGACTCGGCCCAGGCAGAGTAGCAAACAATCGTGAGGTACTTTTGTCTAGAAGACTCATTCGTAAATGTAGTTGTTACTACACCACCCTTCTTTATAATTTTTTTGTTCGTGTAAGAATCAGGGACTTCTACGGACAACCTCTTATGCTGTATGTTCGTGTAAGACGTCGCTGTTCTTTTAGATCAGATACAGATTCAGAATGCGAACGAGCAGAACTCGTTATTTTTTTTCGCTCGTCCTCCTCTCGTTCGGTATTTTAGTGATAGTCGAACTATAATAGTCGTACATTCATCAACATAGCGAAAAATTTCGTCTTCTCATCTCAGGGCCCAGCACCCGGAGGATTGATGCGGAATGATGTGAAGCCACAAAGCGTAGACCTGATGGAAACGTTCTTGAGGCAAAACGGCGAGAAGCGGAAGAATAAGATGATGAAGAACTCGAAAGAGAGCAACAATTCGACCCATTCTGTTATGCTCCAGTTTAACCTTTTGCCTACTGGAAATGGTATTACTCGAAAACTCAAAATAAGCGAGTTACTGACTGAAATACGGGAGGTAGCTTAACATCAAGGCTACTCATCTTTCTTCTCATCAGTATCTCCCTTATTTTGCTTATTTCAGTGTTTCGAATACAACAATAGAAGTCGCCAGGGAAATCTGAAGCAGATTGCCGAGGAGGTTCGCGTTCGCGTCATCATTACACCAATGAATAGATACCATAACCATGAAGAACTTGTGCAAATATTACAACGTAAACAAGTAGCTCGTCCTCGTTCTAGTAGTGCAAGAAACACCACACTATCACTAGGAAAGGCTACCTGCGCACTCTAACTCTAACTCTAAATCGAACGGCAATGCGGGAGGAGGGAAAATTTCGCGGATGAGTAGTGCATCCAATTCCAAGCAAGGTGGGGCACCTGAGCAATTTGGTGGAGCGTCACGTGGACCCGGCCCACCGGATACGAGCCCACACGAGAACACTGCGCGCGGAGGGCAACACTCGATGCTATCCTCGAGGCCTCCCCAACAACAGTTTGGTGCAGCACCAGGAGGGGGGAAAGGTGGACCTCCTGGGGGAATGATGCTGAGTGGCAATACTAAGGCTTCCCATAATGATCCATCTTCAGGAGATCCATCTTCTTCATAAAGGGTTTAGCTTTAGTCTTCAAGGGCAAGGGGAACAGGACACACTTCTGCTGGAACTGTTTTGTCCCCCGCCCATTAGGGTAGTAGAACTAATCGGGACACCATGACGTTGTTGATGATGAACAGGATATAAGGACGGTAGTTCCCAAGATGGATTACGGTGAGTTCTAATAATGGTGCTGGTCCAGCAGGTGGTAGTGGCCAGATAGTTGTTCCGCGGGCCATTGGTGGGACCGCAACAGGCACAGGGCCCCCACCGTGGCCGCCAGACTCGGTGGGTCGCTCGCCGGATGGCGGTCCGCTCTCGGCGCGTACCACCGATCGACGTCCCATGATCCTGCAGCGTGGAGGGGCACTAGGATTAAGGCTCGTTACACTGATTCTCATTTGTAGTCCACCATCCAGTGGTCAGCATTTTCTTCCGTCTTAAACATCTTCCTACTAGGTTTGTGAAAGTCCCCTCTTCACACAAAGTCAACATTTTCACACAAAGAGAGTAGTTTTGCGCTCTAATAGGAGCGGCAGGCGGGCCTCCGGGAACGGGAGGAGCTCCGGGACCTAACGCATCGCAAATGCATAAAGGCAGTGGACCCCCGCTCGCAATGGACAGTGGCCATAGTGGTCGTCCGGGAGATCCACAAGGGAATGGTATTTGTTTACAGTTCAGATATGTCTTTTGGAAGGAATTTATAAGCACGACTACTACAACAAGAACATTTGCATTTCATATCCTGAATACCCTGAATACAACACGTTGTTGAACAACGACTAGAAAAATTTAGGAGCCTCAATGATACATCGATCAGGCTCATCTAATCCGGGAGGACGCGGAGGTCCGACCTATGCCACGCCAAATAATCAATTGCTCAGTCTCGTGTCGCAGCAACAACAACTTCTAGCTCAACGGCGATGACAACGAACTTGAGTCTGCTTGATTTTTTCATAGTGAAATAATACTAGAATACAAATACCTCCTTCCTGGAGAAGGTCCTCCTTGTCCTCTCGTTTTTTCTATCCTACGAAAAGTATCCTAGATGGCGTGTAACGAGTTGTATGGAGTGGGTAAGAAAAGTGCACGGAATTATGACGGGGCTTCATAGTATTATGTATGATTTAATATACCATGTGAAGATAGATTGTCTTTGTCTCTTGAACTTGTTCTCTGTGTCGATTGCTTCTCACTTTTTCTTGATCTAAGATGTTTATAGCTGGACCACTGGTAGCAGAATTACGGCTACCTTGAACGTTCACCTTCGCTTGTAACTACAACATGATCTTCAATCATTTTTTCATCGTTATTCCACAGAGTAAAACTATGTAATTTTTATATCTCTCTTTCTCATCTCATATTATCACAGGTTGGTTTTGGTCGTTGTTCTCTCAAAATTTTTTCTTAAAAAGCAGTTTTAGTTTTTCCTTGAAATCGTTTGTTATTGTTGAAATTGAAAACTTGGATGTTGCGATTCACTTTGTACTAGATTCACTTTCTACTAGATTGAACTACAACAATCAACATGTTGAACGAAAGTCGTGAAGTCGAAAGTCAAGCTGATCCCTTCTTAAGCATTTTATTGAAGAATTCTGATAGAACTATGAGTGATCGTGATAGAAGATCAAGCTACTTAAGAAGCAGCCAAGGAGTAGCGCTCATGTGAGCACCGAAATCGATACTTTCTAGCATGCTAATTGCCCGTTGTCATCGGTCGAAGTAAACTACATTTTAAATCTACTACCTAAAAAGGTAATATCAATCATCTACTTCCTTGTGGAGGTTGTAGAAGATGTAAATTTGAAGGCTTCGCCTAATCCATCTTCGGAAGCGCCTTGAAGCTGTTTCATAAGGGGAAAGGAGCTGCAAGATGCGTCCCAAGATGGATAAGGGTGAGGTCTAAAAATTGTCCGCCATGATCAAGGTCAGTCGAAGCGGCCACACTGTCCTCACTAATGTTAATGCTATGTAAGAAATGATTTCCTCGACGTTTTTTATCGCATCCTTCTTGATGTTGTAGCTTTCTCTGAAATTCAATCAATTTGATGTTGCTTGTATTTCCTGGTAGTTCGACGTTTATTCTGACAAGAACAACGACTTGTTCCTATGTTAGTCAGTAAGCAGATTGTACTTATCTACTTGTGTTGTTGCCACAACTACTTTGAATCATCACCATCAACTTACTCGTTGTCTTCTATCTCAGCCACGTGACTTAGGGCAGACCTTCTAGGACTAGATCATATTGCTCCTGCTTGTATGAGTTTGTCGGATGACCTTTTTCTATTCATCTTTCATTCCTTGTTTTCTTAATATTGCGATGTGGTAGCAGGATGCTTGTATTATTTTCAGAGAAATGAGATTGATAAATGTAGCAGGTTCGTTCGTTCATTCATCACAATATAGCTGCAGTATTCGTTTCATCCTCATGGACGATCATGCTTCAGGCAACCATAGTTGCGCTCCGACACAGCCAGCACGCGGCAGAACTATCCTTTTACAGTTACTACGAGTCACGAACAACACCTCTATGATCCGTTGATCATTGATCGTTCATCAAGAGCAGGAGGCTATTTACGCACATGTTGATATTCTGGTAGTATTCTTTGTGTTCAACATTAAGGAAGAACAACAATATGATTGCATCAGGCAACTGAACAAGGTGTCCTTGAGGGTTTTCTCCACACGCTAAAGTGTGTGTGCGAGATGAATAGTTGTGAATCTATTTGGACAAAGACTTTGCAGCAAAGGCTCTGGATGAAGCACTTTGTCGTCATCCGATTGAGGGGATGACGGTGAAAAATTATGATATGAATTCGTGTTTCTTGCCGTGTGGTCATGTGAGTGAGAGAGAGAAAACAACGAGTTGCTACCATGACTGTGAATCGACAACTGTAAGGAACTTGACAAGATTCTCCGGAACAACTACTTAAGTAGAAGTTCTTGTACAGAGACTCCTCTGCCGCGCGTCTGTTCCATATTGTATAGTTCTGACGAGTCCAAAAAACTATGATTTTGGTTCGAGAGTGGAGAGTGGTTGAACGACATTGCAGTAGAGCCTACGTGCTGTCTGTTGCTTGCCTCATCTGTAATATGAGAGTACTGACGAGAGGCCGTACAAATGTTGAGAACCACCATGCATCATACTAGGAATTAGAATTTACGACCCTCACTAAAACTTGAACTCAGATGATCATGAATTTTAAAATAGTTTATATATACTACTAGGGAAGTTGCTCCTCTGGACCCCACGTGGCAAATATAGTGGGCTAGGAAGTTCCTCCTTACTGCAAGAAGATTTTTTTAGCTTCCTTGACTATTTTGAAAACGAGAAAGAGAGAAGAAAAAAACTCAAGCAGCTTGAGAGGCTCAAAGAGTTGCAACGTCGAACGCGAACGAGAATAAGAGTGAGCGCTGTTTTTTGTTGTTGTTGCATTTTTTTAAGATGTGAAAGCCTTTACGCGTGTACAGTAACCCGAGGCCAGACCTGGCTCAGCCCGCCAGAGTAGCAAGCCAAGCCACGAACCCGAGAGGGCTCGCCGCTGCCGTTTCCGCCGCGAGCCCGATTCGGCCCCGTCTTGCATGCTTCGGACAAATCAGCCTCGCGAACCCGAGCCCGAGCCTGGTCTCGCGAGCGCGGCTCCTTGCGGGCCCGGCCCCGTGCC